GAGGGGTAGCGTCAGACAGTCAAATAACATAGCAAAATAGTGTCAAAATCCATCCCTACTTGCATTTACTTAATACTCTGCTTCCTCTCATCTGAATCTTTTTTCATTGTAACCTTTACTCTTAGCATGATACATGGCCCCTGGCTCCTTCTTTCCAGTGTAAACTCCCATTTATTCTCAACCTGTTCACAAGCAACACACCTTCTCTCCTACATTCAGTGAAAACGGACTTGAGCCACCTAGTTCCATGGGCACCCTCTGGACCCAGTTATCACCAAATCTTTGAAATCTTTATTTTAAACAAATTTTATTTATTATGAATTTGTTAAAATATCAAAATGACAAAGACATAACAAAAACTCATCACCTGAATTTAACAAATGTAACATTTGCTCAAAATTTTTTAAACAAATAAATTTTACAGATATGCTTGAAACTCTCTGTTCCCATTCAAAATCATTTTTCCTCCTCTTACTCCAGAAATAACCAATATTCTGGAGTTGGTAGTATACTCCCAGTCAAAGTTTATACTTTTGCCACATACACATGTATTATTTTATGTATTAAAATTTATATATATTGTGTGATACATAGTATGTCTTCCAGTAACTTGCTTTTTTCCATCCTATTACTTTCTAAAAATTTGTCCAATGAATTCATTTCTTTTATACAGCATTCATTAATAAGATATTGGCACAATTTACCTATTCATTCCTCCGTGGGTAGGCCACTTCCAAGTTTCCTATAGGACAGTACACATACCTGTGAAGGTCCTCATGAACACAGAGTTTCTCCAGGGCCTAATCTGGAAGTGGCATTGCTGGGTCATACGTAGAGGAATTCCAGCTTTCCTAGAGATGGGCTAAGTGTTCTTCAGATGAGAATACTAATTTTCCCATTTGTTCTCAACACTTGAAATTGTCAGACTTTTATAATTTTACTTGCTCCAAGGTGAAGAATGTTAGATTAAATTTTGTTTTAATTTAGTTGAACATCTTTCCTTCTGTTTATTGGCTGGACAAGCTTCCTCCTCTATGATTTGCCTATTCAAGCCTGCTGCCTGTTATTTCCTACTGGGTTTTTGGTCTCTTTCTTACTAGTGTGTAGGACTCTTGTGTATTCTGAATACTAATCCTTTATTGATGGTGTGTGCAGCAAATACTTCTTTCCAATCCATGACTTGTCTTTCCCCTTTCTTTTTAGTGCCCTTTTCATATGAATGTTTTAAATTTAAAGTAGTCAAAGTTTAATATATTTTTCTTATGTTTGTGTGTTTTGTGCCTGGTTTATGAAATCCATTCTTTCCCTATCATAAAGATATTCTTCTCTAAAGTTTTTCCCAATCTTACTGAGATACAATTGACATTTAACATTGTATAAGTGTAAGGAGTACAATGTGTTGATTTGATATGTTTATATATTCCTCTCAATTTTTTGAAGTTTTGCTTTTCAAAATTATTTCTTTAAGAACTATTTTTAACTATTATTTTCCATATATGGGTAGCCCATTATTCCAACACTCTTTACAAAATGGGCAGGCCATCCTTTCTCTGTGCATTTCCAAACTAACTCATGTTATATACCAACTTGTAATAAATGCTTGTTCTGTGTCTGACTGTCTAGTCTGGTACGTGGATCTATTTTTCTTTCCCTGTACCAGTACCACTCTACTGTTTGAATTACCATGGTAAATCACTTGCTGTCTGATGGAGCAATTCCCTCCTCCTTATTCTCTGTCATCAAATTGTCTTAGTCCTTTATGGCTCCTTAGTCTTCTGAATGCTGAATCCTGTGTTTTAAAGAAACCTGTGGAATTTTGATTGGGATTGCATCAAATTCATACATTAATTGGAGGAGAATTGGCATTTTTACTATGTTGGTTCTTGCCATTAACATTGCTTCTCTCTCCATTTTTTTGGATATTATTTTTTTGTCCTTAAGTATAGTTTTGAAATTTTTGAAACCAGTTCAACCTCTTTTGTTAGAATTATCTCTAGATTCCTTCAGATTTTCTACTGTTATTGTGAGTGGAGAGGGTTTTTAAAAATTATATCTTCTATTTTATTACTCTTTTTTTTAAGGATTGGCACCTGGGCTAACAGCTGATGCCAATCTTTTTTGGGTTTTTTGTTTGTTTGTTTGTTTGTTTGTTTTTCTGCTTTATCTCCCCAAACCCCCCCTGTACACAGTTGTATATCTTAGTTGCAGGTCCTTCTAGTTGTGGGACGTGGGACACCGCCTCAATGTAGCCTGACGAGCAGTGCCACGTCCATGCTCAGGATCTGAACCCTGGGCCGCTGAGCGGAGCACACAAACTTAACCACTTGGCCATGGAGCTGGCCCCATATTTTATTATTTTTTAAGTATAAGAACAGTATTGATTGTTTCCAATATTGGCTTATATCAAACTAACTTCCTAATATCTCTAGACATTCCCTTAGGAATCCTTGATTGATCTAGAAATTTCCTTAGGCTTTCTTTGTAGACAATCAAATTTTCTGTGAATTTTATCCTTTTGTTCTTTCTTTTCCAAATCTAATATAGCAAAAAAAATTTTCTAGTGTTATTTCACAAGTAGATCAACACTTCAAGTGTTTCATACAGGGAACTCAAATTATCTCTCTACTTCATGCAGATCTGTGGCACATGTTCTGTTCCAAAACAGAATTAACACACCAGGCCCCAGCCTTAAGGGCCATATTTTTAGGTGGAAACCCCAAGGGAGCACAACAGCATCTACTATGACTTACAACTCTTGCTCTGAGTCTTCTTTTTGTTTCTGATACCTATGTATTCCTATTTCTTTCTTTAGTTTTGGCTATGTGTATTTTTTTATTGATTTTTAAATTTATCTAAAATTTCTATGTATTTTAATTGGAATCAGATCTGTTAACATTAGCTTAGTCAACCATGTTGCTGAGAACTCCATCTCTAAAATGTTACATTTCCACACCAAATGAACTAACCATAGTCTCTCAGCCCTTTATTGAACCCTCCCAACCCTGAGATATTGTGATTCTGTGTAAAGATAAGATAAGACATTTCAAAAGAGAAAAACAAATTTCTTTAGGTACAGAGATGAAAAAGCACATCATATTTAGGGGAAATATAATTAGAACCACATCCTCTGTGCCCAGCATATAATACACGTGTACTATAGGAGACATTGAGAATTGGTAATCGAGTTAATTATAGATTGAATTAATTATTGAGTACAATTCTCTTTAGAAAAATTAGTGAATTTCTTAGGATATCCTGGACTACAGTAACAAAGACATGACAAAATGTGTAATGCTTTAAACAGGATAAAAGTTTATTTCTCTCTTATGTAACAGTCCCAGTGGGTGTCTTCTTAGTGGATGGTGGCTCTTCTGGATATGGAGAAGTAGGAACACAGGCTCATTCCACCATATGAATCCATCATCCCATTCAGCCTCCTGGCCATTTCCATTCAGCTGGCACAAGGGGGAAAAGAGTGTGGAGAAAGCCCACAACTGGAATACATAGGTGGATTGGCTAGAACTCAGTCACATGACCACACCTCAGTGCAAGGGAGCCTGAGAAATGTAGTCTAATTGTATGTCTAGGAAGAAGAGATTGTACTTGGATGAGCAGCTGGTAGTCTTTGCCACCAGCAGTATGCCTCAGACTGCAAGTGGATCAAAGAGGAAGGAATCTGTAGTCAAGCAGTTAAGGGAGCATTACAATATTTCATGGAGATAATGATGGTCAAAGCTAAAGTTCTGAGACAATAACGAGAAAAGTTGAGTTATGTAAGATGTATTTTAAATGAAGAATCAAAAGATGAGACGTAGAAGTGAAGGATAAACTGAGTGAATACCCCTGTGAGCATTCCACATCTGGGAAGCCTAAAAAATAAACCTTGATTTAACCCAAGAAATATTGAGTGAAAATTTATTGGTTCATACAATGAACAATATTTCACAATGACCCCTCTGGGGGGGATAAAAATAAGCAAAGTATGGTTTTCCTCCTCAAAAAAGCTTGCAAACTACTTGAGTTGGATGTGCAGAGTATAGGGTTTGGACAGAATTGTTTGCAGGATAACTGAACATAGACATATAAGAAAGAAAAACCGAATCTGCAGATATAGACCTGAGAGTTTACTAAGCAGTAGTTGAATCAACAATGAGTTGGATGAGCCACCAAAAGAAATAATAAAGAAAGGAAAGAGAAGATCAAAGAGAAAAGCTTTGTAATTTTCTATGTTAGAGAGTTTTCCAAAGAGATAAAGCCTATCAAAGGAGGTGATGAAAATCTTCTTTGAAAATGGGACACTTGGGGAGGAAATTCACTAGGCTTCCTTATGTTAGGACATAAACCCAGTGGTCCTTGTGATTTATAATCTTCTGAGATGAGCATAGATGCCAGTTACTTCCTTGGCAATGGGATCACTATGAGTTTGGTCATTGGAACAATTCCTAATTTTCGTGCTGGTCCTTGTACTAACACACTTCCCACTGAAGTATTTTGTCAAAGACCCCAAATGCTGTCCTTTCTTTATCATATGTAATAAAATCAGTGCGTGATTCTGGCTTCTCCATTAAGTTGTAAGGACCCAAGAGCAGAGACTATGCCTTACGTGTTGAATAAATTGATTAATAAATTGTATTTCCCACATATTTGTGATTTTCACACAAGCCTAACAAAGTATCTAGCACATACAATATGAGTATTAAGTATTTGTAAATTGATTAAATTCTAGGTGTTTCAGTGGTAGTGAGGGGATGGGAAAGGACAGGCATCTCTGATTGACAGACTGCTAGCTGCTTAAACATGAGTATCCAGGGCTAACTGTCAGTTAGTCACACTGATCAACAAGGGTATTTCCCCACAATGTTGGCTTTCTTCAAATTCCGTAAGCTCATTTGTAGAAATGGTTGATCACTGGAGCGAAACCAGTGGACAAGGAAGACTGTTATGCACAGTAACTTTGCTGATAATTCTGGATTCCTCTGCTTTTTCTTAACAAAGGAGCCATGAGGGAAGAAAACAAATCCTCTACCTTAGATTTCATCCTCCTGGGTGTTACTGGTCAGCAAGAGCAGGAAGATTTCTTCTTCATCCTCTTCCTGTTTGTTTATCCCATCGCATTGATTGGAAACCTGCTCACCATCTTGGCCATTCATTCTGACATTCGCCTCCACAACCATATGTATTGTTTCCTGGCCAACCTCTCCTTTGTTGACATCTTCTTCTCCTCTGTAACACTCCCTAAGATGCTGACCAACCATCTTTTGGGCACCGAGGCCGTCTCCTTTGGGGTGTGCCTAAGGCAAATGCATTTGATAATAGCCTTGGACAACACAGACAACTATATCTTGGCAGCAATGGCAGATGATCATGCTGTGGCCATCAGTCGCCCAATTCATTACACAACAATTATGAGCCCACGGTCTTGTGTCCTGCTAGTTGTTGGGTCTTGGGTGGTTGGAAATGCCAATGCCTTCCCCCACACTCTGCTCACAGCTGGTCTGTCCTTCTGTGGAAGCCAGAAAGTGACAAACTTCTACTGTTACATTGCCTCTTTGCTCAAGCTGTCTTGTTCTAACATCCACTTCAATGTGAAGATGATATATCTAGGGATTGGTGTTTTCTCCGTGCCATTACTATGCATTGTCCTCTCCTATGTTCATGTGTTTTCCACGGTGTTACAGGTTCCATCCACCAAAGGTGTGCTCAAAGCCTTCTCTACCTGTGGTTCCCACCTCACAGTTGTTTCTTTGTACTATGGGACAATCATGGGCATGTATTTCCGCCCTCTGACTAGTTACAGCCTAAAGGATGCTGTAATAACAGTGATGTACATGGCAATGACACCAATGTTAAATACTTTCATCTATAGTTTCAGAAGTAGGGACATGAAATCTGCCCTGGGGAAACTCTTCAGCAAGAGAATCTCCTCATAACCAATGTGAGGTCATACAGTGGAGACTTCAGTCACCAATTAGGATGCACTTGGAAATCCATCCCCAATATCCTTCCACTCCTTTGATCTTTCCAGCTAGAAATTCCTCTTCTCAGAAATTTGTAGCAATTTAAGAGGCATGTTATTGAAACTATTTCTTTGTACTCATTTCTACTCCTTTGGGCAGAGTGGCAGCGCACAATATTGGGTTCATGTCCCAACTATTGTGCTGACTATCAGAGTAAAGTTGGGCAGGAATGAGGCTCAGCTTCTACATCTACATATTAGGAATAACAATGTCTTGCTTAGCTACTTTCATAAAGTCTGAGGATCACAATGGTTCATACTTGGCAGGCTATAAATCACTATTCAAATGTCATTGTTACTGGGCTGTTATGTTTAATCACCCCTAGTGTGCATACAAACCTCTTAACACAGGAGCTGTCTTAACATATCACTGTACCTTTTACAGTTTTGGTCATATAAATTGCATCCAATGAATATTGGTGGAAAGCAGAATGAATGTATGAAAATATTAGTCTCTGAAATGTAATCTGATAATGATTATACATAATCATACTGGACATTACCCATCTACCACACACCTGGTAAATCTGAGACAATGTCAAACACACTAACATTCATATTATAGTGTCCCAGAAGGAGAAGAGAGAGACAAAGGGGCAGAGAATCTATTTGAAGAAATAATAGCTGAAAACTTTCCTAACCTCAGGAAAGAAGCAGACATCCAAGAACAGGAAGCACAGAGAGCACCAACCAAGATAAACCCGAAGAGGCCCACATCAAGACACATCATAATTAAAATGTTCAAAGTTAAAGATAAAGACAGAATACTAAAAGCTGCAAGAGAAAGCAACAAGTGACTCACAAAGGAAAGTCCATAAGGCTATCAGCTGACTTCTCAGCTGAAGTCCTACAGGCTAGAAGTGAGTGGTAGAATATATTTTAAGTGCTAAAAGGGAAAACCTATAACCAAGAATACTCTATCCAGCAAGGTTATCATTCAGAATGGAAGGAGAGATAATTTCCCAAACAAGCAAAAATTAGAGGAGTTTATCACCAAGAAATCAGTTCTACAAGGAATGCTGAAGGGACTTATTTCAGTGGGAAAGAGAAGACCACAAATAGGAATAAGAAAAATCTAAAAAAAAAAAAAAAGGCAATAAAATCATTGGTAAAGGCAAAAATACAGTAAAGGTAGCAGATCAACCACCTATGAAGATAATACGATGGATAAAAGACAAAAGTACTAAAATTAGCTATTTCAATAATAAGAGTGTAACGGATAGACACACAAAAAATAAGAGATTACATATGATTTCAAAAACATAAAATGTGGGAGGAGGGGACTAAAAGAGTAGAGTTTTTAGAAAGAGGTCAAACTAAAGAGACTATCAACTCCATATAGATTGCTATGTATGTAAAATATTATATATGAACCTGATGATAATCCTGAAACAGAAACCTATAATAAAAAACAAATATGTAAGAGAAAGGAAATGAAACATATTACTGAAGAAAGCCATCAAACCACAAGAGAAGAGAGCAAGAGAAGAAAAAGGAACAGAGAAGAACTACTAAAACATCAAGAGAAAAAATAACAAAATGGCAATAAATACACATTTGTCAATAGCTACTTTAAATGTCAAGGGAGTAAATGCTCCAATCAAAAGGCATAAGGTGGCTGATTGGATAAAAAAAAAAAAAACAAGACCCATGCATGTGCTGCATACAAGAGACACACTGCAGACCTAAAGATATACATAAACTTACAGTGAAAGGATGGAAAAAGATACTACTTCAAATGTCAAAGAAAAGTAAGATGGGATAGCAATACTTATATCAGACAAAATAAACTTTAAAACAAAAACTGTAATGAGAGACAAAGAAGTACAATACATAATGATAAAGGGAACAATCTAACAAGAGGATATAACACCTGTAATTATCTACACACTGAACATAGGAGCACCTAAATATATAAAGCAATTATTAACAGACAGAAGAGAAGAAATAGACAGTAACACAGTAATAGTAGGGAACTTTAATGCTCCATTTACACGAAAGGATAGATCATCCAAACAGAAGATCAATAAGGAAACATTGGCCTTACATGACACATTAGACCAGATGGACTTAGTAGATATATATAGAACATTCCATCCAAAAACCACAGAGCACACATTCTTTCCAAATGCACGTGGAACATTCTCCAGGATTGATCCATATTAGGCCACAAAGCAAGTCTCAATAAACTTAAGGAGATTGAAATAATACCAAGCATCTTTTCTGACCACAATGGTTTAAAACTAGAAATCAACTACAGAAAGAAATCTAAAAAGCCACAAATACGTGGAGATTAAACAAAATGCTATTGAACAACGATGGAGTCAATGAAGAAATCAAAGGAGAAACCAAAAAATACCTGGAGACAAATGAAAATGAAAATGTGACATGCCAAAATCTATGGGATGCAGCAAAAGGGGTTCTAAGAGGGAAGTTTATAGAAATTCAGGCCTACCTCAAACCTGAAAAATGTCAAATGAACAATCGAACATTGCATCTAAAGGAAGAGGAAAAAGAAGAACAAACAAAGGCCAAAGTCAGAAGAAGGAAGGAAATAATAAAAATCAGAGCAGAAATAAATGAAATAGAGACTTAAAAAAAAAAAACCAGAAAAAAATCAATGAAACCAAGAGCCAGTTCTTTGAAAAGATAAAGAAAATTGACAATCCTTTAGCTAAAATCACCAAGAAAAAAAGAAGGAAGACCCAAACAAAATCAGAAATGGAAGAGGAGAAATTACAATGGACACTTAAGAAATGCAAATGATTATAAGAGAATACTATGGAAAGCTATATGCCAACAAATTGGACAATCTAGAAGAAATGGATAAATTCTTAGAATCATACAACCTTCCAAAACTGCATCAAGAAGAGGTAGAGAATTTGTATAGACCAATCATCAATAAGGATATCAAAACAGTAATCAAAAACATCCCAAGAAATAAAAGTCCAGGACCAGATGGCTTCCCTGGTTAATTCTACCAAACATTCAAACAAGACTTAATACCTATCCTTCTCAAACTTTTCCCAAAAATTGAAGAGTAGGGGAAGCTTCCTCACTCATTCTACAAAGCCAACATTATCCTGATACCAAAACCAAACAAGGACAACACAAAAAAAGAAAATTACAGGCCAAATTCATTGATGAACATCAATGCAAAAATCCTCAACAAAATACTAGCAAATCGAATACAACAATGCATTAAAAAGATCATACACCATGATCAAGTGGGATTTAGTCCAGGGATGCAGGGGTGGTTCAACGTCTGCAAATCAATCGTGATACACCACATTAACAAAATGAAGAATAAAAATCACATGATCATCTCAATAGATGCAGAGAAAGTATTTGACAAGATAGAGCATCCATTTATAATAAAACCTCTAAAGAAAATGGGTATAGAAAGAAAATACCTCAGCATAATAAACCGCCATATATGACAAACCCACAGCAAACATCATTCTTAGTGGAGAAAAACTGAAAGCTATCCCTCCAAGAACAGGAAACAGACAAGGATGCCCACTTTCATCACTCTTATTTAACATAGTATTGGAAGTCCTAACCAGAGCAATCAGGCAAGAAAAAGAAATAAAAGGGATCCAAATTGGAAAGGAAGAAATGAAACTGTCACTATTTGCAGACGATACAATGTTATATATAGAAAACCCTAAAGAATGTGCTAAAAAGCTTTTAGAAATAAGAAATGAATATAGTCAAGCTGCAGGATATAAAGTTAACATACAAAAATCAGTTGCATTTCTATACACTAAAAATGAGGTAGCAGAAATAGAAATTAAGAATACAATCCCATTTACAATTGCAACAAAAAAGAATAAAATACCTAGGAGTAAACTTAACAAAAGAGGTGAAAGATCTGTACACCAAAAACTATAAAACATTGTTGAAAGAAATTGAAGAAGACACAAAGAAGTGGAAAGATATTTTGTGCTTTTGGATTGGAAGAATTAACATAGTTAAAATGTCCATACTTCCTAAAGCAATCTACAGATTCAATGCAATCCCTATCAAAGTTCCAACAACATTTTTCACAGAAATAGAACAAAGAATCCTAAAATTTATATGGAACAACAAAAGACCCCGAATAGCCAAAGGAATCCTGAGAAAAAAGACCAAAGCTGGAGGTATCACACTCTCTGACTTCAAAATATACTACAAAGTTATAGTAACTAAAACATTGTCACACTGACACAAAAACAGACACACAGATCAATGAAATAGAATTGAGAGCCAAGAAATAAATCCACACATATATGGACAGCTAATTTTTGACAGAAAATAACCTAAAAATAACCAGAGATAACCTACCTGAGTAAAGAATTTTGCGTTATGAAACTGTTCTCTGAATACTTTGATATCCTTCAGTATTTTCTGGCATTGGTGTTTTGTTGAGAAAAACCAGAAGCTAAGTTGATTGCCTATCTCCTTTTAGGTAATCTGTTATTCTCTGTTATTGAAATTTTTATTCATAAAAATGTTATTCCTATAATAAAATACCAAAATATCAATAAGATACATCTAAGTATATTTTCACTTGTGTCATCCAGAGTATGGCATAGCTTTTGATTATGTTCTGGGTTTTTTGTTTGTTTTGTTGTTGCGGTTGTGGTTGTTGTTTTAAGGTTAGCACCTGAGCTAACATTTGTTGCCAATCTTTTCTTCTTCTTCTCCTTCTTCTTCTTCTTCTTCTTCTTCTTCTTCTTCTTCTTCTTCTTCTTCTTCTTCTTCTTCTTCTTCTTCTTCTTCTCCTTCTTCTCCTCCTCCTCCCCCTCCTCCTCCTCCTCCTCCTCCTCCTCCTCCTCCTTCCTCTTCTTCTTCTTCTCCCCAGTGTCCCCCAGTACACAGTTGTATATTGTAGTTGTAGATCCTTCTGGTTGTGCTATGTGGGACACCGCC